CCCTCTATGCAGGCACTTTTCCAAAAAGAACGGCAAAAAATAGGCAGTTCATGAAAGTCCAAGTTACAAGCTAGTATTTTTCAAAAATGTTAGCTTAGACATAAGTGTGTGAGAACATACGTAGGCACCTAACCAAGTGGTCTGGCAGGGTAGTCATGTGTGAAGGAATTAAAGCTACTTGGTGAGCTACTATGAAAGTGAGTTGTCACAGCTTTGTATTCTCTTCTCCTCCTCAATGGCAAAGTTAAGCTAGCAGGGAATGTATTTTGTCTTGCCACTGGAGTAGGATAAGGACATGTAAGTGGACAATTGCAATAAGTCAACTGAGAAGAATTAGCTACTAGATTAGCCTTTTATATCTTGCCCTGCCTCTTATTTTCAGAGGGTTGATAACCTGGTCACCCCTAATTGTGTGTGAATCATAAGACCCTTATTTTAGGTACTCATAAAATAGAAAGATGACTTGCTAATGGGACTTTATGCACATTTGATAATGTACGATTTCATCATTGCTACCTTGTGAGCACAAACAGCAGGGGCTTTTGCAGGTCCCCTCAGCAGCGTGTATCTTTTTGCCACCAGTCCTAGAAGTCTTCCCTGGGCAGCCTGTTTTTGGAACAGGCTGCCCAGGAAAGTGGTGGAGACACCATCCCTAGAGGTATTTAAAGGACATATAGACGTGGTGCTTGGGGACATGGTTTAGTGGTGAACTTGGCAGTGCTGGGTTTACGGTTGGACTAGATGATCGTAATGGTCTTTTCCAGCCAAACTATTCTATGATTCTGTGAAGTCTTGGAAGGGTATGTGTTCACCCTACGTTGCTGCATATTGTTATCTGAGTTGCAGCACAAAGCAGCACGGCATAATTGTCCCTCTGCAAGCATCTCTCTCTAAACTATTGTTTAAAACTGCCAGACATATCTTTGTTCTTTATTAAGAGTAAGGAAACAATACAGAGTCTGTAGTTATCAGGAGATAATAATTCCCAAAGGGCATTTGAAGCACTTCACAACCAAAAGGTTGTCATTACTCCACGATTGCTATACTGCTTATTATTCCTTATTGCTTAATTTATTTCCTGGATGCTGTCATCTGAATAAGATTCTCCAGTTCTTCTGCTCTGCTTCAATGCTATGTGGACTGGGAAGCTTTGTAGCATTTTGAGATGATGTAAGGGATAACAGTAGGGCAAGCCAGTCATGGCAGCTCTTCTGACCTTCAGGAAACCAGGTCATTCAATCCCTGCCCAGCCAAATGCTTGCTGAGAGGCCATGGGCAAACCTATTTTTAGCTCTACACCTCTGCTCAGTTGCTGCCATAAATAAGGTTGTGTGAGTATCTAGAGTAGAAATAATACAATGGACTTCATCTTGACCTCCAGCTGTGGACTCAGGCAACACGCTATGAAGACAGTCATTTTCTTTTTAGTGTGTGCACATTCAGCTGGCTTATTTTGAGTGGTCTTTGGTGGAGTGCAGTGGCTGAGTGCCATGTGTGTATGGGGGATGAGAGCACAAGGGAAGAGGGGATTTAATATCTTAAAATACTCTACCTGATTTCACAAGACGTGTGACTGCAGCCCAAGTGGTCTGACTCCCAACGGTGCTGAGAGCTTGGTTGCTCTCGACCAGAGAGAACCTCTCAAATAGAGGCTGTAGCACTGTTCACCTTTCTCTAAGGTTTATTCAGATTTCTGTCTCTGATTAAAGTAAGTCAGCATGGTTTGTGCTTGACGGGCTGTGGTGCTGTAATGTATCATATGCAGGTGGGTAACTGGGTTGGCAGCAAACCCACCTGAAACAGGTGTACAGTGCTGCTGCGTTTCAAAAAGGCTTTGATGTCTCCACTCTTTACTGATTCAGTGAGTCTTAGATGACTTGCTGCCTTGAAAGGCAATGTACTGTTGTGGTTACACATTGGAAGAGAGTAGAAAGTGTGGCATTTTCCAGGCTCACTGGGTCTAGAAATCTACCATGAAGAACTAATTTTTTTTTAAGTCTCATTTAATGTTTCCTTGAATCATGTAACCTAGTCTAAAGAAGGGGAAAGCCATCCAGCTGGATTTTAATCCATTTTTTAAATGGGTTTTAACATTAGCCTTGATTTTTTTGAATGTATACCTTCGTAGGAAGATGAGAAGATGGGTGATAAAACTCAGTTTCTAAAT